AGAGCCAAACCAGCTTCTGTCGTAGAGCTCATCGACTGCTATTTGCCAACTCCATTTCGTATTTTACCACAACAATAATTTCTTACTCCATTTAAATAAAACATTAAGACTAAAAGCATACAAAAAAAATCAGTTACGAAGTACACTAAGAGGAAACGTTATTTTTTTTTCGTTTCTCACTCGCATTGATTTTATTTTTTTGGCGTTACTTCGAAGGCATTCTATAATAATTATCAGATGCCTAAGCACACGCCAAAAATGAACTGAAAATTCTATAAGCGACGAATAAAATCGACTCCTTAATTACAATCTCTCACTAGCCCAACCCAAGAAGAATACAAGTCACGGTGCACTAGCTGCTAATGGCTCAGTTCAGTTCAGTTAGATTTGCCAAGTCTAGCTTCGCCCGGGCCTTCTCTCAGGAGTGGCCCGACCAGGAGTGACCCGGCCTGTGGCAGCTATTTCAAGCTGTCTCATGCCAATGGCCCCTCCTTCCAGGTAAAAGCTAGAGGATGCTCCTCCCACTCCCCCTCCCTCCTTCGCCCACTCCCCACCCAACGCCTCGTCTCGCACACGCCGCATCAAAACACCCGGCCCAATTCTGACTTCAACAAAGACTGAGGTGCCTCCGTCGACGCACGCTTTCCCGAAGAGAAGCCCGGCGCTCCGGTTCGCTCTGACCCATCTTCAGTCACAGCTCGGTCCGCAGACGAGCGCCGGACTCCACGGCCTCGCTGCTTCGACTCCTGCTGCGCTACGTGAACACAGAAGCGTGGCATCACACATCTCGCCTTTGGATAGACACTACTCCGTCCCTTGCCACTGAGGCATCGCCGTTTCTGGAATAATCCAGGCCAACACCACGCACTGTTCGTCACGGCAATCATCTACTGGCCTGATGTGCGACTGCGAATGCTAAGCCTAATCCCGCGATTTTCAGTCCATTCGCTCATGCACATACTACGAGAAATGTCTTGTTCTCCTGTGTATATACGGCATATCTTCTATTCGTGTACACTAAGCCTGATATCAAACACTCTCCATCTTCCTTTTCCTTTCCTTTACCTCTTCACGGCCCCTTTCCTTCCTCTCCCTTTATCCCTTTGCCGCTTCACGCCCTTTCCTTCCTCTCCCTTTATCCATCTTGAACGGCGCGGTTTCCCTGCCGCCCGCGATCGCATGGCACGCAGCGCCGCTGGGCGTTCCGAGAAACGAGAACGCACATCATAATGGCTGATCCGACTTGTTGCTCCCCATCTCCGCTTTACTATTATTTTTAAATTGTATTTACCTTTATTTCTTCCTTCTTTTCTTTCCCTTTCATTTTCGTTTTTTTTCCCTCTCTCTCCCCTGGGGTTACATTCTCCATTCTCTTTATTTTCTCTTTTATCCTCCTCGTATCTGATTTTCTTTCACTCCTCTCTGTTTACCTTCCCCAAGAATTCGCGTACTTGTTAGGGACTCATCTCCTCCCTGAACAAACGGAACCACTGGACCGACACGAGCAACAAAGGGCCCCGAGTGCAGAGCAGGACAGGAAACCGCACACAAACCTCCTCGTAGCCGAAGGTGGGGCTCGCGCGCACCTACGGCTACACCTCCACCAACATCCAATCAATTCCCTTTCTATTTTATACTACGTCAATATTTCTAGTCTGATCTCGACTTTGGTACATCAGAATCCTTTCTTTTCTCGCGTGCTCTTCCTCAGTTGAACCCCATGACTCAGTCTCCTTGAAACTGTTGCCGAGCTGGTATTTGGACCAACGTTTCGGGGGCAACAGTTTCCCGAGCGGCCCGTATGACTAACGACCTAATGACAGTCTGCACAAGATCCTTAGGTATATCTAATGATCTTGGGTCTGCACGCGGCGACGGCCTGCCTACCTGCCTACCCGCCTCGCCGCCTCACACTGAGCAATGGGCACCACGCGCCTTTCCTGTCCTCCGCGGTGCCTTCCTCCCCTTGTTCTGTCCTGCTCTTTGTTTACCCTGTGAGCCTTTGTTACTCTTCCTCTGTTCCCGATGAGCGTTCTGCGCCGCTTCCCTGCGCTGCGCTGCGTCGCCCTAGGTCCCGAGCTCTTACTCCCTCCCCCGAACCTGTGCTCGAGATGCAGGCGCGCTCGGAGTTGCGATAACCTTGGATTCCCTGCGAATGTGAGGTGTGTGTGTTCTCTCATTAGGAGCGCTATCGCCAACTTTTCTGGTCTTATCATTATTACGAGAAGTAACGCACGTATGCGGCGCTAGATTGCGTAGCCGAACCCCTGCAACTCCCTCGCTCGCCCACTCGCCGTCGAGCCGAGAGCAGTCGCACGACCTCCGCCGACGACCACCTCGGGAGCGGTGCACCTTGCGCCTCCCCGTCGCTGCGACCTGTTGGCGTCCCCCCCCCCCCCCCCCGCCTCGCCGCCCCCGACTCGGAAATACTTCGCCCAACAATGCCACGCCGACGGCCCTGCGCTCGCCTCTTCCTTCCTCGACATTGTTCCCCTTCGGCGATTTCCTCTGCGCCGCTCGGCATCTCCCCCCCCCCACCCCCCACCCGTCGGATCGCACCTCTCTGCATCCCTCCCGAACAAAAATGGCGGTGGCGGTGACGACAACAATGGCGGCGATGGTGATGAAGTTTAATGCTGGTGTGTTGTTGATGATGATAATGATGATGATGTAGATGGAGTTGCTGTTACTGTTATCATTATTGTTATTACTGTTGATGATGGTGACGGCTAAAATAAAACTAACGGCAGCAATATAAATATTACTACTCGACAGAGAGAGGGAGAAAACGAACGGGAGAGAAAACATTGGGGTTGACAATGAGAGTGAGAGTGAATGAGTGAAAGGGAAAGGGAAAGGGGAAGAGGGGGGGGGTAGAGAGAGAGAGAGAGAGAGAGAGAGGGACGGGAGAGAAGAGAGGGACGGGAGAGAGAAGAGAGAGGACGGGAGAGAGAGAGAGGGACGGGGAGAAGAGAGAGAGAGAGAGAGGGACGGGAGAGAGAGAGAGAGAGAGAGAGGGACCGGGAGAGAGAGAGAGAGAGAGAGAGAGAGAGAGATAGAGAAAGAGAGAGAGAGAGATAGAGAGAGAGAGAGAGATAGAGAGAGAGAGAGAGAGAGATAGAGAGAGAGAGGAAGAACGGGAGAGAGAGAGAGGGACGGGAGAGAGAGAGAGAGAGAGAGAGAGAGAAGAGAGAGGAGAGAGAGAGAGAGAGAAGAGAGAGAGAGAGAGAGAGAAGAGAGGAAGGAAGAGAGAGAGGGACGGAGATAGAGAGAAAGAGAGAGAGAGGGAG